TCAGTAGATTGATGATGATGATAATAATAATAATTCCTTATACTTATACAGTGCTGCTCTGGACACTCCACTCAAAGCGCATTACAGGTAATATAACAACATAACAACAACAACATAACCAATTTATTAGCCCTGTACAATTTCTTGCATTAGGAATTTGTCTTTTCACATACCCCAGCTTGCTCTCCATGAGACACACAGACAGGGAGAGGAGCTTGGGGTCAGAGCGCAGGGTCAGTCATTGTACAGCGCCCCTGGAGCAGCTGGGGTGAAGGGCCTTGCTCAGGGGCCCAACAGAGTAGGATTCCTCTTCCAGCCGCGGGATTTGAACTGGCAACCTTCTAGCCACAGGCGCAGCTCCTCAGCCACAGAGCCACCACTCCGCCCAAATAGGGACCCCCCTCCACCACCACTAATGTGCAGCCCCCACCTGGATGATGAGACAGCAGCAAAAGTGTGGTCACAGTAAGCTCACCACACATCAGCTATCAGTGGGGAGGAGAACATGAGTGATGAAGCCAAGTCATAGAGGGGGGTTATTAGGAGGCCATGATTGGTAAAGGCCAGCTGGAAATTTGTCCAGGAAGCTGGGGCAACATCCCTATTCTTTTCGAGAAATGCCCCTGGGAGAATCAGGACCTCGGTTTTACGTCTCATCCGAAGGACAGCGCCTTTTTACAGTATAGTGTCCCCGTCACTATACTGGTGCGATAGGACTCACACAGACTGCAGGGTGAGCGCCCCCTGCTGGCCCCACTAACACCTCGTCCAGCAGCAACCTTAGTTTTTCCCAGGAGTCTCCCATCCAGGTACTGACCAGGCTTGTACCTGCTGAGCTTCAGTGGGTTGTCAGTTGTGAGTTGCAGGGTGGAGCAGTGGATCTGTGGCTCAGGATCTGCGCCTGTGGCTGGAAGGTTGCCGGTTCAAATCCCGCAGCCGGAAGAGGAATCCTACTCTGTTGGGCCCGTGAGCAAGGCCCTAAACCCCAACTGCTCAAGGGGTGCTGTATAAATGGCTGACCCTGCGCTCTGACCCCAAGTTTCTCTCCCTGTCTGTGTGTCTCTTGGAGAGCCAGTTGGGGTATGCAAAAAGACAAATTCCTAATACAAGAAATTGTATATGCCAATAGAGTGAATAAAGTGATAAAAGTGATAAAGATATGGCTGCTGGCATATGGATTATATGTTGATTTCTTTCTATTTTTTTTTTTGTTTTGAATGTATGTTGTATAAGTAAATCTTAATTGCTACTTCAAAGTATCATGACAGACGGTTTTAAAGTAACAGTGTGAAAACTGTGTATAGTGATTGATAGACCAGTCCTGGGACCTTCCCTTCCTGTGGGATTATCCTGACCCGATAGCACGCCAGCAGGACAAAGATCGCCCTCCTGAGTGAGTGAGTGTGGTAAGATAAGCCACAGTCTGGCAAATATCCAACCCACGCCTGCCAGACTGACTAGGCACCCTACCAGGGCCGATCCTGCTCAGTAAGGTCAAGCCCCAGAGTTCCAGTAGCTTGCAAAAGTGGTTCCAGTACATGTGAGGCAGTTGAACTGAAGGTAGCCTTGTCCTGAAGTGGAAGCAAGGACATTCATCAATCTTCCAGTCTCTTTGTTCGGCATTTCAGACTGCTGGACAAAAATATTGTTGGACAATTGGACAAGGAGCCCCGTGTGTTGCACAGATGTATTGCAGCACATACGATTACAGCTTTGCCTTAAATGAGAATCTAATCTCAGGTTGCTGTGAGTTGCAAAACCTAGAGGTAGATAAAGAAGAAATACCTTTCTCATTATGCATTCTTGCCCAATTTTCTGTTCCTGTTTCTTTCCACTGTCTGTTTCCAGCGGGGGAAGACGGTACAGTCGTCACTTTTTATTTCTGTATCTGCAGCGCTCTGGAAGTATGGGAGACTAGTTTAAGGTCATGTGGTGCCCAGCCAGTTCCAGGTTCATTGTGAGGCAGCCGGAATGTTTTTTTTTCAATGGTGTTTGCCAGAAAGCCAGTTTCTTCTTTTTTTTGTTAGTGTTGAGGCGATACGCATTCACCCTTGAAAAATAAAGGAAGGACTCACATACTAGCAAGTTGCGAATCTTGGAAAGGCTCCTGGAAAGTCCTTGTGTCAGTTGTTCCAAGTCATTGTTTCATGAAAAAAATCAAGCGGTTGTGGCAAAGGTTCTTTCCGTTTGGGTTTGTTTTTCTAGGGGAGTCTAGCTGTTCTTGGCCAAGAAACACAAAAGCAACAGTGATTCCTTTGTTGCAGTGCCTTGCATTGGCTGACCTTATGGCATACAACAGAATAAACAGGAAAATTTCCATTTCGACCAGATAGACTGGTACAGGTGAGGTTTCACGGTGCCCAGTTTGAGTTAGGCCTTAACTAATGGAAGTATATTAACTGTGTGGGTTTTGTGTAGGACTTGTTTTTTTTTTTGAAGACCACAGTTTAATCTGCTGTGGCATTCCCCCCAAAAAAACAAACTAAAAATAAATCACAAAATGTGAGGTCATTGCTCAGCAAGGGGAAACCTTTGGTAATGGCAACACTGCATGTGAGGGGTTTGGGAAATTAGTTCCTATTCACCTGCAACCAAGGGAAGAAGTGTTGAAGATTAACTGAGGTCTTGTCAGTGGTAAAACACAAAGAATAGCCATGGTAAGTGGCCGATATTGAGGACATTGGTTTGTTGGCTCTAAGCCAGACCCCTCCCTTTTTGCTGATTTTCTAAAGGATTTGAACATTTAGAAATGTTAGTGCTAAACTGAAAATTATGATCATTTCAGTGCTAAACTGAATGTTGTGATCAATTTAATTGCTAAATTAGATAATTTAGGTCCAAAAGCTACATGTCCTTGAGGATCATTTATGCCTTGAGGATCAGAGAGTTAATTCAAATAAATTACTTGCTTAAATGATCATTAACTCACAGGTGATCCCAGTCTCTAGAAACAGGTGACCTGTAAGACTAACTGAACTGAGTCTCTCCAGGACCAGGGTTGGAGTCTCCTGTTG